TATAAATAACAGAGCTTTCTCCATGCTTATATCTTGAAGCTAATTGCTAATCCTCAGCACTGGTTATCTTTAAATGTATATTAATATCGTTAGTGGACATGCGGAAACTATGGCATCACTTATTGCTACTTGTACTGAATTATGAATGCCTCTTATGGTCTCCGTTTTGTCTGCAGCTGCTCCAGTACAACCCAGTGGAGAGACTGGGGGCAGGTGTGGGAGGCGTGGATGATATCAAATCCCACCCTTTCTTTGCCAGAGTGGACTGGCCCAAGTAGACGCTGTGCATTGTGGGACTGCGGAAACCAGAGCTGCATGCTGGGAGACCGGCTGTCCTGAATGAATTCCTTTCAGACTGGAAACACAAATGGACAGTAAATTCAGATTATGCATTTCTGCACGCATCTCACATTTTATGTATGGCCATTCGGTCCCCATGTTGTTTTTTTTTTATACGGAATTTGCCAAGAAGCAGTATTACTTTCCCTGTAAATTGCTAATTTCTTTATCTCATGGAGGGTTTACTGTGTAACCTTTTTGGTGCAGGGAACACTTAACAACATGTGTGGTGCAATAATTTATACAATAAGTGCTGGTACAGAGTGATGATCCACTACGACATTGTTGCTTTTACACTCGTACAGTAGCGGTAAGTCAAAATGACATAAGTGAAAGGTGACATTTTTTGTGTTTACACTGCATTTATTCAGTTGTTTAGGTTCACCATTCAAATTCACAGACTTAACGCTGCAAACATTTCTATTCAGAGCAGTATTAGAGCAGCAAACAACTATTATCTATTAAAGATAAGGTGGAGTAATGTCTGCCTGAGCAGAGAATGGAGTCGCTCTCCCTCTGTGTGTGTCGTAATCAAGAGTTTCTCCGCTCTTTGTTGACACAGCCGGGCCGGCTGCACGTGCATGTTAGCGCATGTGAGAGTGCCCCGATGGCTAGTTCATGGCCGCCGCTCTGCACTGCGCTCATACGGTAGTTACATAACACTGTCCCGACCAATTGCATCATCGCGGAAGCGTAGCACCCACCCTTTGGTTCCACCCTCAGGTAAACACTGTTTGCGCTGTTAGCACTGTTAGCTTCTAGCACTGTTAGCTGCTAGCCGGCTCGGCCTTCGCCTTGTTGAGAGGCACTGGAAATGCTCCCAATCTCGTACGTTGTACCTTTCAGTCAGCTTTCCTAAAAACACAAGTGCAATACGCTCAGTTTGTTGCCGCCTATAACCTATTCATTACTCCATTCTGAGCCCATTGAGATTAGGTGTGGTCGGGACAGGTTGGACACTACAAGATGGATAAACACAATATTTTCAGGTAGGAGATGGTTTTGTTGTTGAGTGAAGTATTTAGTTAAAAGAAGATTAAATTATTTAATAGATTTTAGCTGGCAAAAGTGTCCGTCTAACGCCCTCTCCCTCCGTAGACAGGCCCGTGAGGTCAGTGAGAAATGATGAAGGATGAGGCGTGAACCACACATTTCAAACCAGCCCTTTTACAAATTGTAGTTTTTATGAATGACGGAGGAAACTCTGTTACTGTTCACTACTTTTTTTTTTTTTTTGCATGGAAGAATATAATTGTCGTAATACATGTCGTGCTATGAAAGTTCTATCAAACAATAAATTATGTGCGTCTTGTAAATACACCTTTTTAAAGGATGTTGTGCTGAGTGAAAGGTACACCCAGGTCTCAAAGCCTTGATCATGTCCAACGTGTCAATCACTTACTGCCTCATCAATCAAATCCTTTTTATTTGATTAGGTGTTTTATTTAAATTTTCCGACTTGCAACACGGATCTTAATGCTGATTTTGTAATATCTACAATGACATACATTATATGGTAAACATTCCCATGGTTACATTACATGCAATATATCACTTCCTGTATGATCAAAGAAGACTTTTGAGATTTATTGGAGCATATAATCAAATGCCTCATGATACATTTCTTTTAACAATACACAGTTAATCACTCCACTGTAGATGCTGCACTGCATAGTGTAAATTTCCAGGGCCATATTCCACATGTTAACCCTTTAATCACACTTCAGTTTTCCTTTTCTCAGTCTGTGTTGTATGTCGGTACTGGTCTGTCAGTGCACTCTTGATAACAATAAACATACCTGGATGACAACATCTAGTGATGCTTCCTTTATTGATTCAGCGGTTACGTGTCGAGAGCTGGGAGTGTGTTTGTTCTGAGGCTACAGCTCCTCTTATCAGCAGGACCGATGATACTCCTAGAAAGCCGCTGTCACTCCCGCTGAGTGTCACTGTGACGGTAATATGAGCCAGCACAAAGGCACGCGCACACACACATGGTACATCCCAAGCACCCATTGATGCACATGGGACCTTTGGGTGCATTTATTGTACTACCAGCCTTAAAAATGTCTTGAATATATATGAGTTTTTTAAAAATCATATCTTTTGTTTTCCATAAAGCAGCAGGGTACATCCAGGTGTATGAGTATTTAATGAGAAGTTTTCACGATGACACTGCAATGCAGAAAACAATTAACTCCCCAAATATTACATCTTTGTGATGACTGAGCCAACTTTGAGTCCACAGAGAGTTAGATAAGCTCTATACCACTATGTCCGTGTGTAAACTAAACAGTCTAGTTTTTGTTTGAACCATACAAAATCTAAATGTAAAGATGACAGTTTGTCATTTTGCTGGGGACTACTTTTTTGGCTGACACATAATGGCACATGACCCTCTGTAAAATGGTGTCTTTATTCATAGTTTTTTGTATGGATTAAAGAAACAAAATTAGTTTTTTTAGCAGGTTGGTGGATGTTGTCACCACTGGAGAGAACCCGTCCGTTTCTCCATTTCCAGTCTTTGTGCTACACTAAGCTAACCAGCTGCTGGCTGTGGCTTCATATTTATTTATACATTGAGGAGTGGTATCAGTCTTCTCATTTAACTCTTGACAAGAAAGCAAATAAACATTTTTTCCTTTAAAATATACTTTAACAGAAATGTATTTACTAGTTGCTGGACCTGTCTTGAACTTATAGTTAAAAAGGTTTCAGCTAAAAATGTGAGTTGAATTTGAGGAAGGTGATGGTTACTTTGGAGAGACATTTAGAAATCAAACATATTTCATTGTGGATCAATACGATCACTTAATATTTTATTACTAATCTCTTAAAATATTTAATAACCTTTTCATATCAGAATATCTTCACATTTTGAAAATTACAATCTAGGCTTGATTAAACTGAACATGAACTCATTCCTCTATTACCTGAAATGACACAAGCTCATCTACACACACACACACACACACACACACACACACACACACATACACACACACACAGGTTGCGGGAGTTGTTAGCAGTGTCGCAGTGTATCCCCCTTGTGTCAGCCTCACTGCCGCAGGGTCAAGAGTCTGGGCTGATTAGTGCTTGTCACAAGACCTGTCTCTCATTACACACACACTCAGGGCGAGAGGTTCACTTCAGCTCAGAGAAGAAGCCTGTCAATCTTACTCAGCGTAGATGTGAGATGTGCCTTCAATGTGTTCACGATAGACTCAGAATCCCTCTGAGCTTATTTTTTACGCTTCTGTTGAATTTCTTCCACTTGTGGTTCAAATTCATCTGATTTGGACTCAAACTAGCATATAACACAAGCCTAAAATGTACATTCTTGTATAATGTGGTTCAGCGCAACATGATGACATTTTAATATCTCAAACTCTCAAAAGTGACTGATTTGCAGTGGTGGAAAGTAACTGAGTACATTTTCTCAAGTACTGCACATAGGTACAGTTTTGTAATGCTTGTACTTTACTTGGGTATTTCCATTTTCTGGGAGTGGATCGTCTCATATCACTCTCCACCACAGAGTGAAGGCATATGTCCCAAAATGTCAAACTATTCCTTTAAAACTATCACCGTGACTAGCGAGGACAGTAAAATGCCAATTATGCAGCGATGCATGAGTATTAATGATCGAGTTATTTAATATATCAGGGTATGCATCTGAAGAATGAGTACTTTTTCTTTTAATACTTTTTGCTCATAGTAATTTTGTACTTTTACTTCAGTAGGATTTTAAATGAAGGACCGGTAATGGAGTATTTTTACATGCTTTTACCAGCACTTTTACTTCAGTAAAGTATCTGAGTACTTCTTCCACCACTGTCTATTTGGCTCCACACAACAATAATCAAGGTGCATGTGTTTTGTATATTTATATATATATATGTGTGTGTGTGTGTGTGTGTGTGTCTTTGTGTGTGCACAAAGCCACCGGGAAGGATGTGTCTGGTCAGAGGCAAGATAAAGAGGACATGCCAAGGACTCCCATGATGCAATACAGGCCAGAACCCTGAAATCGTCACCCAGGCCTGCAGGCTGAATTGACCCCTGAACCCTTTCTACAACTTCCTGGACCACCCTCTCTCTTTCTCTGTGGTCTTTTCCCACCTCTCTCTCTCTCTTCAAATGCGCCTCCCCTCAGCCCTCGCACCCATCGCTTTCACACTGAGGCACCAGCGAGCGGGCAGCAGCCAAATGGCCTGCCCTCTGCTTCATATTGCTGTTGGTCAGGTTTTGTTTTTGTCTTTGACGGTTTGACTTTCGTTCACAAAGCCCAGGAGGACTCCTGTAGCCCAGGGACGGACACACACTCACACATACACACTTGCGCCGAGCTGAAGAGTTCCGCTCTGAGACCCCGGGCATCTTCTCCAGCTTCTGTCAGAGCCATGATGTCATTTTAAGGAGACACAATGCCTCTTCATTATCCACCATACACACACACACACACACACACACACACATACACACACATACACACATATACACACATCTTTACCACTGCACAGACACACAAGCTACGTGGTCAACAGCATTAGGAGCGGCACGTGGTAAGGTACAGGTGAACAGCACTGTCAAACAGGTAACATTATATGTATAGGCAAATTATTTTTAGCAGCTGGTGTCCAGTGTCCTCCTAAGGGAAGGGATCACAACCAAACAATATCGTAAACGGCAGAGAAGAGCCATAAACAAAAGCCAACCACCACCCACAACATGAATGTGTCTTTTCAGAATATATCATAAATTCTACTGACGTGTGTGACAAAAGGCTGATATATCCAATCATGCGAAATTAGATGAAGATATTCCCATACCTTATACTCAGTGTCATTAAAGATTATACAAGTCAACACAAAGTTAAGAGTTAAAAAATGGAATAAACGGCATATGAAATAAAGGTCTAATTAAAGCTCCTCCTGGTCTGCCTTTAATTAACTGCTGTAATACTACTTGTCACTGCCCTGGTGCCTTGGGCTGTCTCACGCCTTAATCTGATCAGATAGTACAAAACAGCTCTGCCTCCGACCTCAGCTCCTCTGCAGTAGTGATGAGGTAACTGTGAAAGGCACAGAATCAGATTCAGTAAATATCAGAGTCTGTGAACACAACCCCAAAATGAACCACAAATTGGCCTTTAGGGTTTAGGGATCTTACAAACAGGTCATTGACCCACAGTGTGCAGGTGCACCACACTCCATTTTCAGAAGACCTTCATTAGCCTCACGACTTCATACTGTGATGCTCTGCTTTCCCACCACAAGACAATACAATGGGGTCACTGAGAGGGTTAATGGAAACACGAGCCCGTGAGGTCATATGACGCCACCCTGAAAATGTTGTGGTTACCATACATGACCTTTGACCCCTCGTACATGAGTATAGCCCTGTCCATCCCTTTACAAAAATCTATGAAAATGTTTGTTTTCCACAAAGCACTTCATGTCTTGATCTTAAATGATGGTTTGATTTAACTGACTGAGGCATTTAGGCATGAACCCTTCCTTGCAACACGGCCTAGTTATTGGAAACGCTCTTTGCAAAGGCAAACCTAGAGTTCTCTCCTCAGTGATTTGAACTATCTAATTACCAATATTTCTCATATACAGCACCAGTGAGATCTCTTTCTAAAAATTTTAAATCGGCAATTTCACTGGAACTTATGTATTTTTCACTTTCAAGTACAGAGCAAAAACAAAAGCTTAAAATGTACAGATCATTCGGAAATAATACACCACCCGCCGAGCACGCTACGGCGGGTGGTGGAGAACGTCAACATTGGTGGAGAACGTCAACATTGCTTGGTGATGTTGCGTTATGTTGCTTTCCATGGCTGCTGCTCCTGTGGAGTGTTTACTGCACTTACACATGTTCATGTTCTCTGTATTTGTGATATTTAATTCTGCTGCTGTAAGAGGTGTCATGTATTTTATTTTATTTTATTTCTGTAGTTTAATTTGCACCCGATGTGGTGTCCACTTGCTATTTGTTGTCGGTCATTTGTGTTTTATTGTCTGATTGTTTTGTTCTTGTTTCTAATTAACTCTAGTAAGGCTATAGTGAGGCTATTGTGTATTTATAATTGACAAGCAGTTGTATTATCAGGCTGCAGACTACAGTCTATAGAAAAGGACTATATCGTTAATTAACTGTATTTTGTTGCCTAAATGTGTTCTTTACTTAGCTCTATCATATAACATCATTATCATTATAGACAGTTTTTCCCTTTTTAAAAAATGTAATGCAATAACGTAATGCATTAAACTCACCTACTTTGTTTTTACCAGTTTTGATAATTTTACTTGTACTATAAACTAAAGTAACATTACTTTTACAACTGCTACTACTTTACCTGTACTCTTTCCAACCCTGTTGACTAAGATGGGAGCACTATAATTTCCATGTTTTTCCATGAAAAACTGAACCTACAAAAAGGATTTAGATGTATTTTTTATTTAAAACACTGTAACAGAAGTGTTGCTCCATCTCCACTGTTCATCACTCACACCTGTTCAAAACAAAGAATAGAAAAGGGCCATGATCTGCTTACATGTTGCTTGACCAACATAACATGTTACATACTTGTGTGCATTCTGATATTTTAGAGTTCAGGAGAACAGTCGAGAGAGCGAGAGACAGCTTAAATGCAGCTTAAATGCCTGCTAACCCTAAGAGGTGTCTCAACTCCCTTTAAAGTCAAATTACCAAAGATGCCTTGCTGCATAAATCGTCCTCTGTATACCTCGATTGGAAGTGCCGGTTATTTTCCCCGCTCTGAGCGTTGTTCTACCTCAC